GTGTATCCATATAAATGGCCCACCCTGTAGATCGCACTCGACTGATCCATTTAGCAAAGAAGAGCGAAATGCTGCGTCAGACAGCATGTTAGACTTAACAAAGAAAACGAATAAACACCATACACCAGCTTTCTTTACACAGAAATTGCTGCAGAGGTTTCCATCATTAAAAGCGTTACTGTTATTTCCTCTCTGTTAACTGTATTGCCATCTCCTTTAAAGACAAACTGATAAAAATATGGTGTATCAACTGATGAAAGCTTTGCAACTAAGAGGAGGTAGAGAAAGACAAAGAGGGACATGGTGGCAGTTGTTTTTAATGTAAGCACATGAGATGGACAAACTTCATATTAAGCACACACACCAAAGAAAAATCTGACATGATGAAATGAAAAATTATGGCCTGTAAACATGAAACAAATTCATTCATTGCATTGCTCTTCAGTAATTTCGTTTTTTTCCCCTCAGTCTATCAAAAATGAGTGCAGACAAGCATAAAAAATAAAAATAAAAAAAGTAACAGGAAACATAATTACTGGAAAATGTCTATATCATAGGCATAAACAGAGTGAGTGAACAATTGGCTCTGTATTAAAAAATATAGAATTGCTAAAAAAAAGAAAAAGAAAAAAAAAGTAATGCACATTGGAAAAAAACCCAAACAAACAAAAAAAGCCAGTACCGAAAAAAAAAAATTAACAATCCACACTCAAACGACGACAGCGCACCACTCAGCGTTGTAGCCCTTCTCCCGCAGCAGCCTCACGCAGGAGCAATGACACACTCCTGACTAATCCATTGAACTAGAGGCACAAAACAGCCTCCTCTTTCCTCCTCTTCATCGTCCACCCGTCCGATGCTGCACCTTTCCAAAGGTTAATGCAGCCATACAGAATGTGCAGACCACTAGAGACCAGCATGTGTGCCTGTATCGAGAGAGAGAGAGACTACTCATTTTTGAGCTGCTGTCGACCTTACGCTGTGCTTTGGGTTTTAAACACACACCTCAGGGGGTTTTGGGGCCAGAGGCAGACGGAGCCTCTTGTGGTTCTGTCTGTTCAGATGGAGCAGAGTTCAAACTTGAGGTGCTTTCCTCCTTCCTGTCCCCTGACAGAAAGTCGTGGATGGCTGTTTCTATGTGCGGTCGGAAAGTGTGGTTCATCTTGGGGTCCACGACCTGAGTTATGATCCTGTCCACACCAGACTCCAGCATGCCCGATCTTAAAATACATAAATAAATTATGGCTGAGTGCATGGTCGTGCAAAAGTCTTCAGTCACTTCCTCATTTCTTTATATTTTGCTAGGAAAATGGGAAATAGATACACCAATTTATTGAAGCATGTGTAAACATAAACTGAAATACAATGTTTAACACAAAAACCCAAAAAGTGAGTACTTCAAAAACAAATCATTTCTTTATTTTATATATAACCTGTTCACTACAGTCTTTTTACTAATTTACGTAAAGAAATTAGATGTAAAAAACCCCAAAAACCAACATGTGAGTGTGCACTGCAGTAGTGCTGTCGTGGAAGGAAAGCTCTGGTTTGCACAGTCTGCATTTAACTTTATTTGTTTTATTCGTCCTGTTTTGTGGTTGGCGCTACGTTCTTCTTCATTAATATTGAGCGCAGTCTTGGGAGACGATATAGGCGATACGCCCTCATACCTCCCTGTAGTGTGTTGCAGTTACAAAAACACATTTATGTGGTTTTAGTGTATGACACGTCAACAATGAAATTCCACATCAACTAATTTTTATAGGTGACATCGTCAATTGTGTTAATTAACCCTATTATCAGGCAGACAACTGAAGATCAATGCTGATCATGTGCTGTAGACAGTTTTTAAGGCTTGCAACTCATTCAGTGTCCTCATATTTATAAGGACACACTGCACACCATGCTGAGCTACACCAATTTTTCAGCTAATGACTGTTTGGCAGTCAGCTTGTTGGTGCAAAAATACCATTTTATGTCTGTCAAACTGCATTCTCTTTGGCATTTTTCATAGGTTGAACTAAAGAAACAGGAACAGATGATATACCAAAAGATACAGTTTTTGTCTGTTACGTGTCAACAAGAAAGATTCATTCCTTGAGTTAGGTGCCCATTTTTTCCTTGAAGGATTCATAAGCCAGTGTTACATGGCTTAACAAACAAAACAAGAGTCAGGTACAAAGGCTGGACTAAAAACGAGTGAAAAAGCAGCCAATGTTCAAAGAAAAACTTTGAAAGACCTTCTGAAAGCCTGCAGAACTATTGTTAAACGAAAAAAAGGATTATGTAAAATTTTGAGAAAGTCTGGCTCCTTGGAAGCTCACATGTGTAGTACATTCTGAACAGGAGCTGAAAGGCTGCAAAAAGCTCAAAGGAAACACTCACTGAACAACGCTTTGCCTCAGTCCGTTCCTCATCTGGTTCTTGTTGATGGACGGGTTCCAGTTCTGCGTGCTCAAGTGCGATGTGACGAAGTTGTCCACTTTCTGTCGCAGGTTCTGATAGGCCGGCTGACAACAACAACAGCGCGGTAAACATGCAGCAATAGCGCACACTAAGTAACGGAGTACACTGTGCGTTGAAAGTATACTGTAGTATACTGTAGCCAGCTAAAAGACACTCGGATAGATTTAGGACAGTTAAAGTGGCACTGACACGGATAACTTTGTTTGTGTCAGGTTAGCTAAAGTTAAACACAAACAAAGCAGAGTTAGTAGATTACCTTTGTATCGACGTCGGCTAAACAGTCCCGACGGAACTCATCAAAAAGACCCCGGTTTTTCAGATGCTCCACAATCATCCCGATGAGCTGCGGGTCTCCCGGTGGGAGGTTGGCCGGATTGACGTTAACATTACCGCTTCCCTCGGCCATGCCAAACCCAGGAGACTATTTTATTACTTACCTGTTAGCTGCATTGAACTAGCCAACCACTTAACTATCCACACTAGTTATTCTACAAGACGTACGTTCGATTCATTACCCTCGAACAAACTGCGGGCAAAGTGATCGTTAGTCTTGCTGAACAGCAGACGCTCTCTTAAAAAAGGTAGAAGCAGAAGTCCAAATCGAATGCCTCCTTTTCTCCCTTTTCTTCCACGCATGCGCACAAGTGGCATAACCTCGGATGTACTTCGTTTTAGTGCCGTTGTTACTAACTGAGGGTAAATCAAAACGTTAGCGGGCTGCGCTGAAACGTTCATTTAGAAATAAAATAGAATAACTTAAAACACATTCAAAGCACAAAGCTGGTTCTGTGGCGGGGGTCTGACTAAGATAATCTGCACCGTTAACTTTCGCACCAGCCAGAGCTCACTGTGCCTGGACTATCGCTGTGAAAGGTAACGCTAGCCATGCTGGCTAACATCAACACACCTAATCTAAGTGTTAATCACGGACATAAAAACATAGCAGAGGTGAATGACTGAATTAACCTGATATTAGCTCAGATACACCTCCTTTTGAAGACGGGCTGTAGCTTTAGCTCACATTGAGTCCAGCTGTCGGTTGTTATCCTTGACATTGTGAAGGATTAAAGCAGCTGGCTGACATTTTCGGCAGTTACAGTATAGTAACAATGATGGTACTCATATGTGATTAGTTGACTAGTGGCAGTTAGATGGGTGAGTAATATCCAGATCATGACCCTGTGCAAGACTCCAGAGCAGGATATTAAATCCAGGCTATTTCGGTGTGATAAAGTTGTCATACAGTGTCTCTCTATATGTCTGAACATGGTAATCTAATGTGTCACTTTCTTGTCGTAGATGAGTGGCAAATCAGATCCCAACAAAGAGTTTATGGAGCAGCTGCGGCTGCAAGAGCTCTATGGTCAGAGAAATGAAGATGGCTCAGACCCATACACCTACACCGATCCAGAGGATGGGACTGTGTATGACTGGGATCATGAAAAGAAGGCCTGGTTTCCCAAAGTACGAGCTGTGTAGTTTTCTTTTTTATATAGCATAAAAGCGCTGACTAGTAAAATTAAAGTGAAAAAACAAAGCTATCATTTATTTTATGATTCAGAGAACTTATTAATGCCAGAGATGGGCAGTTTGTTTGTAGCTTACTGGCATACTGGCCTGAGAGCAACTTCCTGAATGTGGATATGACCAAACATGGTCATAATGAGTTTTTGCCTCCTTTATCATCTGATTTCTTCTGAGTGAACACAAGTGTCTCTCCCTAACCCAATGACTTTGACTAACAATGCTGTTGAGGGAGTTTTTAACACTAGTAGATGCATCAATTAACCAGCAAATGTTAAAAGACCTTCGACAAATGAACATTAAAAATTACATAAGAATTCCTAAATGACATTAAGAGTTCAGCCTCCCTAATAAATGTATTTTCTGTTGACCCTGATTTATGATGGACTCCGTGTTCGCATCAGTCTTGGGTTTGTGGTTAAAGACTGTGCTGAGATAAGTGTTAGACTGCACTATTATGTGTTATCATTTTGTTTGCATCCAGAGCAATAATGATGTAATATCTTTGAGTGACAGAGGATGTACTTAGGCTTATTTAGCTGTTACAATAACAGCTTTTATTAGATGTGTCAAAATTGGTCAGAGTTGATTTCTGTGTTAATATTAAGTAGGTTTGATTTGTTCCTCTAGATAACAGAGGACTTCATGGCAGCCTACCAGGCCAACTATGGCTTCACTGAGAAATCGGCTCCGGATGGAAAGAACACTTCCCTGACCAGCACCAACCCAGCAGCACCCGGGCCTGACAGCAAACCACCACAAAAACCAACAGAAAAGGAGAAACCAGAAGATCCCGCCCCAAACTCGGCCTCAGAGCAGCATGAGACGCCAGGCAAAGAAACCAAACAGAAAGGGGAGAAGAGGAAAGCTGAGCAAGGTAAATTGACATCCAAACACATATGTGCAATTTTTAAGTTGTAAGTGGAATGTGGCTTTTGATCAGTTTCCCTTTTTCTGCCCGTAGGATGGTTTGATATTGATGAAAGTAAAAACACGAATGTCTACGTGTCAGGTTAGTATTACCTACATATCCTTCTTCTGAATGCCAAGAAGCTGGCATCCCATAAAGTACCTGACTCTGTTTATCACGTGGCGCTCTCTTGCTCTAATCTTTCTCTCCTGGTCTCTTCTTATCAGGCCTGCCTCCTGACATCAGCTCCGAGGAGTTTGCCGAGCTGATGTCAAAGTGTGGGATTGTAATGAGGGACCCCATCACTGAAGAGTACAAAGTCAAACTTTACAAAGACAAAGAAGGAAATCTGAAGGGAGATGGTCTTTGCTGCTATCTAAAGGTTAGTCTGTCCTGCTTCACCATCTGCCCGGTCAATGCCCCAGACACGCACCATAACTGTGCAAATGTTGTCACTTAATATTGGCAATATTGGCCGTAGAGGGTGCCATAGAATACACGGAGCAACAACGTTATTTGTAGTCCTCTTGTTGAGTGGATAGACAAATCTCCTGCTCTTGCTTTCTTTGCTCTGGTCAAATGACTGTGTGTATTTGTTTGTGGTTCTCTGCAGAAGGAGTCTGTGGATCTGGCTATACGCCTGATTGATGAGTCAGAGGTCCGAGGTTATAAACTGCATGTGGAAGCAGCACGATTTGAGCTGAAGGGGCAGTATGACGCCAGCAAAAAGAAGAAGAAAAGCAAAGATTATAAGAAGAAGCTACAGCAGCAGCAGAAGTAAATTCTGTTTTTCTGTTCTTATCTGTTTATTTCTGTGTAGCAGGAATGAACTCCTCAGTAAAAGCACTACTGGCCCCTGTTTCTTTATTCTTCGTTTTGTTTTGTAGACAGTTGGATTGGAGGCCGGAGAAAAAAGGAGACGCGAGGAAGAGGCATGAAAAAGTTGTCATCATCAGGAATATGTTCCATCCCAGTGACTTTGAGGTGTGAGAGGAACACGTATACACACACACACACACACACACACACACACAGCATTGTGCATTAATCTCTTTGCTCTCTGTAGGAGGACCCACTGGTGCTGAATGAGTATCGTGAGGATCTGCGGAGTGAGTGTGAGAAGTTTGGGGAAGTTAAGAAGGTCATCCTCTTTGATGTGAGTTTGATATCTGTATTTTGAAGGTCGTAGTAGGAAATTAGTTAATAAAAAGTTGAGATGAAGTGGATGCGTGGCTGTGTTTGTGCTGCAGAGACACCCGGACGGCGTGGCATCAGTTGCTTTTAAGGAGCCCGAGGAAGCTGATGCGTGTATTCTGTCGTTCAACGGGCGCTGGTTTGGAGGAAGGCAGCTATCTGCTCAGCTTTGGGATGGAACGACAGACTATCAGGTAAATAAAGACAACAGAAATATTGAGGTTTTGGGGGTCTTGGTGATTCACAGTCAAAAGTAGTAATACCTAGCCTGTCATATAATTAGCTCCCTGACAAGTTGGAGTAAGTTACACAATTTCTAAGTGACGCTTTGGTTCCTGCATGAAATGAAATCTGCGAAAGTTTTAATTGTTCCAAGGGACAGATTTTAGAATCTGCTTTGTTTTCTGTGCTTCTGTTTGCAGTTAAAGCTTTACTTGGTTGTTCTTTCACTTTCATATATTAGTTAAAGGAGATCCCCTGAGCTTTTCTGACAGCTGTAATTGTCTTTAGCATTCTGTTGTACAGTTCAACATGTGCTTTGTGCCTGAAAGTTAGTTAGTTAGTTTTTTTTTACTGTTGTTCATGTACATTATTGTCACTTTTTTGGGTGCTAGCAGCACTTTATTGTATGAGGTGCTGATTAAATTTTAGGGAAAATATTTATTTTATTTTAAATGTCCTGTTTCATGACCCAGTTTAAGGTCAGATTTAACTATCAGACAGATAGCCTGACATGTATCTCTAGAATAATTTGGTACACAGAGGAGTTCATGGTAGACTCAGTGATTGCACGGTGTCCCATTTGGTATTTATTTAAGTAAAACAGGTTATATTTGAATTATTTTGATACGTTAGACTGCCTTAGACTCTCCACGTGGTAATATCTCTCACCTTTCATGTTCTGTACATGCAGGTAGAAGAGACGACACGCGAGCGAGAGGAGCGGCTGAAGGGTTGGTCACAGTTTTTGGAGGGTGGAGACGGAGAACAGCAGAAGGACTCCAAGCCTCCAGAGAGCAGCACAGCGACAGAACCTAGCGAGCCCTCCAGCACCACTGAGCCAGAGCAGCAACCCAAATCAGAACCACAGTCCTCAGAGGAGCAACAGGAGGAGGAAGTGGACTCCACTGACAGCAGCCTAGCAGGAAGTGAGGATGAGGAAGCTTAGATACTCCCATCCTCCTTTTATGGCCCTGTGTCAACCAACTAGGATGTCCTGCTTAAAGTGAACTTTGGGAAAACTTCCTGTTGAGAAAGGGAGGAGGAATTTGGACAGTTTGAGCTGTTTTGTAATGTAGAAAATAAAACTAATTTTCTCTAACCTATTTTCATCATTGTGGTTCACCCTGTAATTAGACACGCACTCAACCAGCTTGCTACACCTTACAGCACTCCCATAATTCAGTGCAGTTTGCTGACACTATGCATTATGCTGACAAAGCTAAATATTAATGACAAAACACAAGAGAGACTGAAACTGTTGGATTTGAATGTGTTTGGCTTAATTATGTTTTTCATTTTATTTCACATTTGCTTTGTTTCATTCTTTAATCACTGACGATTTTCCGAGCAGTATTGGAACATAAAATAATCACATGATGGAAATGTGAGATTGCAAAGGGAGAAACAATCAGCGTTTGCACACACTGCAAAACTCATTGAGCAAAAGTTGTAAAGAAAAAAGATAAAAATGGCATAAAAATTGAAAAACGGGACTCCTTGTACATTTATTTTACTCAGCTGCTTGGTGCAAATTGTAAGGTGTATTTATATTCAGCATATTGCCAAATCTTAACTACAGCTGGCTACTAAAGACATATTTACACTATAAACAGCAAAAAGATGATTGCTGGTTCTAAAAAATACTTTTATTAAAGTGTTTTTCAAAGACTGAACATTACTCGGCACATCAACGGCCTTAATATGAGAGGAATCTTAAAACAAGAACCAGCTAGTGAAGACAACGATGGTGGGACATCTGCTCACC